AATATGATGATAAAATGTGAAAAAATAACTTGATTTTTAAAAAAATGCTATAACTGTAAATCAACCAATATAAGCTTTGTCATTCATTATGTATTTACCCATTCAACTAATAGATATTGAACTTCTCATATTTGCCAGGACCAGTTACAAAAATCACTAAGATATTGAGCCCAGCTGATTATTAGGCAGAGTTAAATGCTCGAAGAGACAAAAGTTCACAACACATGCCTGGAAAAATAGCATTGATCCTTCAAGAGTCCTTCTTCTGCAAAATAGTAACAACTTGCACTGATTACTTGTTCTGACCCATTCACTGTGCTAAATGCATCACATGAGATCTCATTTGATCTTCATATTGTGAAGATATTGCCTCAAGAGGTAGCTACTATTATTTTCTCCATTTCATAGATGAAAGAACCGAGACAAACAAGTTAAGTAGTTTTTCCAAGGTTGCGGCAGGCCTGGAATTTGAAGCAAGGCAGTCTGACTTCTGAGCTTGTGCTCTTAGGCACCTTTCGCTATTCTGCCTCCCCTGGCCTCTCCTTCCGCCTCTCTAAGCAAAGTCAGAACACACTTTGTGGTCTCAGAGCATCCTAGGAATGCCTCTATTGGAGATGCTACTGTTTTGAATTAGTTTATTATGTTCAAGTGACTGTCTCCTCCTTTAGAAGAGGATCATATTATTCTCTTTAGACTGCATAGCACAAAGTAGGTGTTCAATCATATGTCTGAGTGAATAAATGAATGCTATGGGCTCACCAAGGATGAAAGAACTGATTATAAATGTGACAATCTTAACTACCTTGAAGGAAGATAAAATGTACACTCAGGCAAACAGGCCAGGCTGTAAAAAGTATATTCGTTGCCAGTTCTAGAGGCATCTTGGAGCCTGGGATGGTTACAGAGAGGATATTCACTGGGAGAGTGGTGAAAGCACAAGGAGAAAGAGGGGCAAGGGCTGCTAGAGTTGATAGATTTTTTTTTCCCCTGGAGTTGATAGGATATCTCTGAAGAAGAATGAATCTATAGGAAACCCATAGACTGTTCTAGGTATTTGTTTGCACACTTAAAAAATGTGTCTAACCTTAGAGGGCTTAAATAGTATTTTTGGTTTTTGTTTTGTTTTGTTTTGTTTCTGTTTTGAGACAAGGTCTTGCTCTGTTGCCCGGGCTAGAATGCAGTAGCATCATCATAGCTCACTGCAGCACCTCAAACTCTTGAGCTAAAATGATCCTCCCGCCTCAGCCTCCCAAGTAGCTGGGATTACAGGTGTAAGCCACCATGCCTGGCTAAATATTTTATTATTTTTTTTGTAGAGACAGGGGTCTCACTATGTTGCCAAGGCTGGTCTTTAACTCCTGGGCTGAAGCAATCTTCCCACCTCTGCCTCCCAAAGTGCTGGGATTATAGGTGTGAGCCACCACGCTTGGCCCTTAAATAGTATTTTGATGTACACAGCTAGAGTAGAACTCTAGAGAACTATTTCAAAAGTAAATTTAGAAATATAAATATAAGGCTGGACGGTGGTGGCTCACGCCTGTAATCCTAGCACTCTGGGAGGCCGAGGCGGGCGGATTGCTCCAGGTCAGGAGTTCGAAACCAGCCTGAGCAAGAGCGAGACCCCGTCTCTACTATAAATAGAAAATTAATTGGCCAACTAATATATATATAAAAAATTAGCTGGGCATGGTGGCACATGCCTGTAGTCCCAGCTACTTGGGAGGCTGAGGCAGGAGGATCTCTTGAGCCCAGGAGTTTGAGGTTGCTGTGAGCTAGGCTGATGCCACAGCACTCACTCTAGCCTGGGAAACAAAGTGAGACTCTGTCTCAAAAAAAAAGAAATATAAATATAGAAAATGTCAACCTTTTATAAAATCTCTGCCTAAGCAACCTTGGAAACCCCTTCTTTGAGAAGCTTATCAAACACCTACTGAGATCTCCAAGTGCACTTGAAGATAATTTTTTTTGGAAGGGAAATCTTACTTATACCCTTCTCCAAAACATGTGCTGACTCTGGACTAAGTTTTTGTATATATATATATATATTTCCTCCGTATTTTGTGTTTATTTTTTTACCCCTTAAGTGTAACTTCAACATATGACAAAGGGGAATGAGGAGGGCTGAGGCCCAAAGGCATAAAGGACTGGTTTGCTAAGGGACTTTATTGAAATTCAGCAACCATGTGACAGTAAGAACAAAGGCAGAAAGGGAACCTGAGCCAACTGAAAGTTAAATAACAGGACAAACTTGTAGAGTAAAATGAGAAAACCATTGAGAATAGAAAAGGATGTCTAAAAAATTGGCCTTAGAAAGAGGACAGCACCCTAGCAGCAAAGAAGATTAAATAGTTTATATTTCAAGGAAGAAAGGACTGGTTCTAAAAAAAACAAAGCTGCCTGGCCCCGACATAATATAACTGAAGTGACTGAATCTGCATGGGTAGGAGGATGACCACATGTGACATAACACAATTCAGGATAATTCTACACATTGTGGTACTGAGTAAGCACCTAGTGTTCACAGAGGATCAGTAGCCAACTACATCTGTGGTTATTCACTGATACCGGGTAAAGCAATTCTGTGACACCCATTTTTCATGCACCCTATGGAGCTTAATACAAGTCACTGAACTATTATATAACAACCTTAGAACTATTTCCTAAAAGTTCAGAAAAAATGATTGTTAAGGCATTTGTGTTTGGCACAGTTATATTTGTTTATCACTGAAACAATTAATTTTTTAAAAGAGTACCCATTTTAAAACACCATGATAGGAAATACTTCTGTATTTGTCTCCTATGGCTGTTGTAACACATTACCACACACTTGGTGGCAGTAAACAACACAAATTTATTCTCTTACAGTTTTGGAGGTCAGAAGTTCAAAATAGGTCTCTATAATAGTGTCAGCAGGACCTTCTGGAAGCTCTAGGGGAAAATGTGTTTCTTTGCCTTTCCCGGCTTCTAGAGGCTGCCCACATTCCTTGGCCCCCTTCTCCCTTCAAAACTTCTAAAGGCTGGGCAAGTCTTTTCATGCTGCATGCATTACTCTGCCCCTGACTCTTCCTCTGCCTTCTTCTTCCACTTTTAAAGATAGGATTACATTGGACCCATCCAGATAATCCAAGTTAATTTCCCTGTTTTAAAGTCAACTGATTAGCAACCTTAATTCCATCTGCAACCTGAATTCCACTTTGCCATGTAACATAGCATATTCACAGGCCCTGGGGATTTAGGATGGGGTTATCTTTTGGGAGTAATTATTCTGCCAACCACAACTTCCAAAGTTAAACTATATTGTGCAAGATGGGCATTCAATCTACCAACAATGTTGAAAGCTTAGATTGGTTCAGCACATTTACAGACATTACACAATCTTCTTTATGCCTGAAAGATAAACCTCACATATAGAAAGCATGACCAAATTAACTGGTATGCCTTTTTGCAGGATTCTTGACTTGAGGGGCCTAGGGGTCTTGCCACACTTTTCAGATTGTGACAGCTTAAAAAGAAAGATATATTCATATAACAACTACTGAAATATATACACTGTCTCTTTTGGGGGGAGGGTAACAATATCCTAAAATCATTCATTCTTTGTCAAAACAATAAATGTACACTGGAGACACTAGAAAAAGCTGAACATTTAAAATTTTAAAAAACATTTGGTAAAAGAAACTTTAAAATTTTTAAATTTTACTTCAAGAGAATGGAAACAGTGATTGTAAGGAAACAGGCAAGGTTTTACTTCCAACTTTTACTCAAAAATAAGCATATACATTTGCACAGTGATATTAGCCCAGAGAGGTTTTTAAGTAGGAAAAAATGTCTTTTTTTTTTTCATTTAGTTTTATTCTTTCCTTACAGATGGGTTCAAAACAAGCTATGATTCTCTCAGCAAAACAGCTCCATCAAGAGTCTTGCCAGACTTTTCCTTGGGGAACGGAGACACTCAGGCAAGAGAAAGAAAAAAAAAAAGAAAAAAACGAGGCGAGACACCTGTCCCCAGTGGAAGAACACACCCAGACAGCAGCTCAAACAAAGGGAGCCAAGTCTGGGGTGCCGGGGGAGAGGTGTGGTAATTGGAGAGGAGACTGGGCTTCCAATCTGGTGTTGGTTTATAAGGTACATCTATTCCTGGACGAAAGGGATACAGTAGCAGCATACTAAAAACTGGGATACAGCTATGCCAGATTGTATCTCCCTCGAGGCTCAACTCTGATGACACTCCTTCCAGGAAGTTTTCCTAGCATGCTCTAAGCCCAGTTTGGATCAAGTGAGCTGCCTGAGATTGCGAGACATCCTGTGCTCATCTCATTAACGCATTCACTCATTCATTCATTTATTCTTTTTTTTTAAATTTATTTAAAAATTTTATAAATCCTTTTTTTCGTTATTTTTTTGCACCCAGCCCAGCACAAAGCCAAAACATTCATTTATTTTTTTTTGTTCCATTTACTTTTTTATTTTTATTTTTATTTCGGCATTCATTTATTCTTAATGAGCACCTAACATGCTCTGAGCACTGAGGACAAAAAAGTGAACAAAGCATAAGAGCACTCAACACATGGCATTTATTTGCATTGGTGTTGGCTTCTGGGGTCTCCTACAGCCGCTTCCAGAAAGGGGCCCTATTTCGTTTTTGCATCCTTTGGGTCTCCCACGTATTGGGTGTTTAATAAACAAAGGAATGCCTTTAAAGGGTATTTTTGATGGGGAGCTAAGTTCTCAAACCTGTAGCCCTGTCGGGGAGGAGGGGGAGATGGGTGGATGAGCAGACGCAAGAGAATGGGGAAGGCATCTTTATTCCGGGTGCACACGGCAACCCACAACTTTCCTGTGCGGCTGCCCGTTCTGAAAGAAGCTAAAGGAGAGTGCGGGAGTCCCGGGCGGGATGGGGAAGGTCTGCCTCCCCCTCGGCGCGTGCGCGAGGGCCGGGCCTGGGGGCCGAGGACGGGGGCTCTCGCTGCGCTCCGAGCCCGCCCGCGCGCGCTGCTCACCAGGTCGATGGCCACGACGTCCCGCAGCGCCACGGCCCGCCGGATGGACTTGGGCGGGTTCTCGGTCAGGTAGATGAGCCGGTCGCTGAGCACCACGTACTTGAAGGTGTGGTTCTCCGAGTCGGACACCACGATGCACGGCTCGTAGGCGCGGACGGCGTCGTAGACCTCGGGCGGCAGATGCCGCCGCAGGAACGCGTCCAGGCGGCCGTTGGCGCGCGCAGGGAAGCCGGACCGCGCGGGGGTGCCCATGGCCCGCGCCCGCGGCCGGCCGAGTGGCGGGGCAGCCAGCCGGCGCCTGCGCCCGGCCCCGCCTCCCGCCGCCGGCGGTGGAACCCGCGCGCGCCACAAAGCCGCCGGCCCGCACCGCCGGGGGCCGCCGCCCCGTCTGCCTCCCTGGAGCCCCCTCCACGCCCTGCCGCGCTCCCCAGTCTTGTCCCAACGTCACCCAGCCGTGGGCGCGCCGAGACCGGCCCTTCAGACCCGGGCAGACCGGCGCGGGGGTTGATCTCGGTGAAGTCCCCTGAGGCCGGGCGGAGGGGCCAGGGGACCCGAGTGCCCGCCTCTCTGGCCAGCCCCCACCCCTCCTTCCCCAGCTGTTGCAGACCACGCCAGCCCATGCCAGCTGCATTGACAGCGGAAGCCAGTTTCGATCTGGTTTCCAGTTGGGGAGAAACTTGAAAGAGTTGGAATTTACCTATATATTTATTTATTTATTTATTTATTTTTTTTTTTTTTTTTTGAGACAGACTCTCACTCTGTTGCCCGGGCTAGAGTGCCCTGCCGTCCGATATATTTTTAATAACCCGAGGAGAACCCATTAAAACCAATCACACAGATTCAGCATTTGACTGATTATAACATTGCGTGGCACAGCGCTCTCTTGATTTTTTTCATGAGTGTAAACCTAGGTCTTCTTTCTCCAACTACTTAAAAGCTCTCTGAAAGGATTCTTAACATAAACTGATTTGGGCACATTCAAGCCTACCTAAAGGATATGCTTGTGTTCCCAATGCCCAGGACAATCCATGTAGGTGGAATGAATGAGTGAGGCTGGCACCTTGAAAAGTTGGATGCAGATAGGTTGAAGAATGCTGATTACATTAGCCCTGAGGCTACATAGTAGTAAAAGTACTGCCTAGTCTTTACGTGCCAGGATTAACTTATAAATTAGGGTAAAGAGATGACAAGGGCACAACAGAAACACCCTAGAGGCGAGAAATTCCATTTTTATTTCAAATCCTAGAAAGGTCATTCCCTCTTCCTCCCCATTCACACAAAGACCTAGTAATGAAAACCATATTCATTGCTCCAGCTACCGGCAACTCTGAATCAAATTTGATACTCTTTATCATTTACATTCTCATTTTCTTAATATGTTACTATTGTGTACTGTATATTGTAAGCAATTCCAATTCTTTGCCGAAAGAGGGTATAAATATATTAAAACCTGTAAACAGATATCGTAGACTACCCTGACACAAAAGGGAAAGAGAAATGTCTGGGTCTGGCTAAATTTAAGTCTAAGATCACGCTGAGGAACTCCGTAGAGCAAATAAATAGGAACAGTGTTTCCTAGACAGACTGCATTTGGTGAGTGAGGAGAGAAGTGCCACCTGCTGGCAAAATGTTAAATGACTATTTAAAGTTTTCTTAGGATCTGATCTGACTCTTCATTAATTTCATACCGGGGTGAAAAGTGAACAGACCACACCATCCCTTACAAACTGTATTGATAAAAGATGCCGCATGGCTATTTTCTCTAAAATAAAGACTATCCTTATTTAAACCACTCTAAGTAGAGCATGCTGTTGCAAACCAACAGAAAGGCGAAGGCCCTTCTTCTCCTTTGCTGAGCAGCCACATCTCACAAGAGCAGCCGAGGGGCAAATGACAACATCAGAGGTGGAAAGTGAGGCCCAAGGAGGGGGAAAGTCCTCACTCCAGGCTGCTATTTGGTGTCTCTGAGGCTTCCTGCTTCATTCCCACGTCTCAGGACTAAGAGAAACAGAATTGACTGGACCAAGATCAGAAAAGACAGCATACCTGATCTATCTGCCAAGCAGCCCATCAAGAACAAGCTTTTGGTGACAAGGACAGGTAAGCTTAACAAACATTAAGATGAAGCATATAAAGAATAGAATTTAACACAGACAATGGTGGGTAAGGTGACCTCAGTTGAACTTTATTATAACTTTGTGGCACACCTAGAAGGCAATACCATGGTTTCCAGGAATTCAGTGTTCTACTCTGTTGCCAAGGTAACAGCAAAGTTCAGATTGCAGGAAAGGGGTTAAATATAGAGGGAAGATCACTGGATGTGGAGTCAGCAGAACTGGATTAGAGCACTAACCCTGCTGCTCAGTACCTGTGAGACTTTTAGAAAGTCATTTAACCTTTCTGAGCCTCCTTGCTTTGCCTCCCTCAAAGAGTTGGTGTGAGGATCAAATGCAATGAAATATGAACTCTATGAGCACTATAGACACATGAAGTATTCATATTCACTTATCTTTTGGTAAGCTTTACATGGATAGTTAACCCAAATGCACCTGAGATAGGCACTTACTCCTAATCTTCTAAGTCCATCCAAACGCAACAGGCATTTGGTGCCAATCCTGTGCGATCAAGCACACTCCTTGACTTTCATCAGAACAGCGTGGTCTCAGGCCCGGAGATGGTCAGCAGTAGTTGTGAGCATGTAATGGTAGTGTCAGATGACCTGGGTTCAAATTCCATCTGTCCCACTCAGTGGTTGAGTGACCTTGGGCAAGTTACTCTATGTCTCAGTTTCCCCATCTTTGAAATGGGGATAATAGTACCAACCCCAAAGGATTTTTATGAGGATTAACATAAAACTTCAAAAGTACTTAGAACAGGTACCTGGAACAGAGTAAACATTCCACAGTGTTTAAAGAATAAGTTCAAATGTGTGATTTCCTGTCACATATATGATCATTCTGCTCCCCAAGTACAAAGTAGTATTGAATTCTTCTTCACTGGATTCAAGTTCAACCTTTCTAACTTTAGATTAAGACTCAGGCAGGAACATACACACACACAAAAGAACAGCATTTTACTTTTTTGTAAATCACATTTTTAGTGAAGTAGTGACCAGTGTAGGCTATGCCATGAGAACCCAGTAAGGATTCCAAACTAGAAATACCCTTCATTGTTTCAGTGAATCCCAAGTGTGCCCATTCTCCCGACTCAAAACTAAAGACAGCACAAATAGAAAGATACTTGGAATATGTGACATATAAATACAAACTGAATTTTTTTTATTTATTTAGATAGGGTCTTACTCTGTTGCATGGGCCAGAGTGCAGTGGGGTCATCATAGCTCATTTTAATCTCAAACTCCTAGGTTCAAGCTATCCTCCTGTTTCTACCTCCCAGTGCTAGGATTAGAGGCATGAGCTACCACACCTGGCCAGAACATGAATTTTGTTTGTTTGTTTTGGGGACACGGGAACACATCAATAGAACCTAAATTTTTAAAAGTGTCCAATTTAGAAATCTCTTAGTGCTTCTACTTAACTGTTAATGGTTAAAGACCATTTAAATATCTATAATTAGAAATCACATGACATACAAAGAGGAGATATCATAATAAAGACCATGCAAATGATGTGTATTTTTAAAAAATGTTTTCTTTTAGTGAATAATGCTTCAATGCTCTATTCTGCCTCTCTCAGGCTTCCTGCTACATACATACTTCCTCTAAGAGAAACCAATAATTGGACTAGGACCAGTAAGACAACATGCCTGACCTATTTTCCAACTTCTTTCTCTACCATCAAGCCCGTTATGAATGAGCTTTCAGTCACAATGGCATTAAGTTTAACAAACATTGAGATGAGGCACACAAAGAAAATAATTTGACACAGAATTTAGTGGTTATTAGCTCACAATTATATTATTTTGGGTTCAACTCAATACATTTCACAAAAATTTACTAAGAAATTATTATCCATAAACAGGATTAGGATAACACTGTGTCTTTAAAAATTGTCTAATAGGTAAGACAACAATAGAAATTTAATATAGGGGAAAAAAACATACTAACACATTGACTGCCACACTAGAAAAAAATTTTCCTCAGGGCCACAGTGTTTTATTAGGAAAATAGAATAAAAACTTCGAAAACAAAATGATTCTTTCTAATGTAATGAAAAATTTGTTATTTTTTATTGTTTTCTGTGCATGAGTTATATGTAACTTGAAAAATAGTTCTTGCAGTTCCCAAGGTAAAGAGACATGTGAGTTACATACGCTTCATGAGGCCCCGGGCTCAAAACTAGCGTGAGTTAAGTACAACTCACACGGCAGTTAATGTGTTAAAATATATTAATGACATTAGAGGTTTAAAAACACACCAAAAAAAACAAGCAATTTCAAAGAAATTATTAAGCACAAGACTGGTAGAGCAAATCTGAAAAAGCTCTGTGAGGGAGGGAACATTCAATAAATACTCAAACAATAAATGAAACTATTTCTTTTTCATTTTATTACAGTCAGTTTTTCAAAAAGTTATTTGTTCCAATTATGAAAGTAATACATAGTCACTATGAAGCATTGTTTGTTTGTTTTGTGGGTTTTGGTTTTTTTTTTTTTGAGACAGAGTCTCGCTTTGTTGCCCAGGCTAGTGTGAGTGCTGTGGCATCAGCCCAACTCACAGCAACCTCAAACTCCTGGGCTCAAGTGATCCTCCTGCCTCAGCCTCCCGAGTAGCTGGGACTACAGGCATGCACCACCATGCCCAGCTGATTTTTTCTTTTCTTTTCTTTTTTTTTGAGACAGAGTCTCACTTTGTTGCCCAGGCTAGAGTGCCATGGCATCAGCCTAGCTCACAGCAACCTCAAACTCCTGGGCTCAAGCAATCCTCCTGCCTCAGCCTCCCAAGTAGCTGGGACTACAGGCATACGCCACCATGCCCGGCTAATTTTTTCTATACATATTAGGTGGCAAATTAATTTCTTTCTATTTATAGTAGAGATAGGATCTCACTCTTGCTCAGGTGGTTTCGAACTCCTGACCTCAAGCAATCCACCCGCCTCGGCCTCCCAGAGTGCTAGGATTACAGGCGTGAGCCACCGCGACCGGCGCCTATTTATTTATTTTTTAAGACAGGGTCTCACTCTTGTTCTCCAGGTGCAGTAACGTAATCATTGTAACCTCCAACGCCTAGGCAGGAGGTGATCCTCCCTGTCTCACCCAAGTAGATAGAACTACAGGCATGTGTCACCATGCCTACCTGATTTTTAAAAAATCTTTT